TGAAACGTATCATCAACGTTAGTGATTTCGAGTTGGAATGTTCTTTGCTTATCCAAATCAATGATTAACTGATTAATTTCAGTTAATTGCAAAGGGTAAAGACGTCAGTGAGCTTTTTCCAGCTGTCGTAAAAAATGTTGCGGCAAAGAATGTAGAGGTTAGTCGTATTGCCATGCTATGTGTAGATCGAGATGTTGGCGTAATAATATGTCTCACTGAAAATTTCAGCTCAAAAAACTTCGTCTACGTTTACCTTGTACGTTATGCAGAAGAGCAACAGGATCTAGCCTTATTGTCAATCAGTACATTTCAAAGAGCTCTCAAGGTTGTCTGTCAGTACTTCTTCCATCGTGAGGTCGTGTTAATACTTTGCGTAGTCATGATCTTTGCAAGCGTAGAGCGTGTCAAGGGGCGTGAGTTGGAGCGCAGTCGAAACTGCCTTTCCCGCCATTTGTTGCAGACTCAGGCTGACATGATTGATGGAAAAGCCGCCTTGACAGCTCTCCATCCCTTGTCCCCGTCGCGCGTCCTGATTCGAGAAGGGCAGGCAGGGGGGGGGGGGTCCGAGTGTCGCTGCCGGGAAGGGGGGAGAGTGTGTAAGAAAAGTTTTTCTCATTGCAGCTGCATGCCTCTGTCCACTAATAATGATAATGGTGAACCACAAGCGCTGCCCAGCTGTATGAAAAATTGTTGTAAAACAAAAAAAATGAGTGTGGTACCTCAATAGCATCATCCTTGGCAGACAACGGCGCAAACCTTTTATACCAATCTGTGAGGCTCATGCGATGATTCACTTCCGTTGAAAAGCCCCCCCCCCCCACTTGGGCACGCGCCTTCCAAACCACGTTCCCCATCACACGCCTTATCATTCACGCGATCTCATACGTGAGCTTGCGAGAATCCGAAATATCCAGTCGAGGACTACTGATTTCTGACGAAGAATACCATGCATTGATGTGAAGAAGTGCATTAAAATTGGAGAGAATCGGGCAGTGAGTCCGCTATGGCTAGTTGACAGGGCCAAAGTTAGCCCTCTATCGTGAAATTCGCGCATTGCTTGACTAACAGATTCTGTCAAAGTTTCGGGTTCTCCACATTCGCAAAGTGTGAACGCGACCTTAGGATGACAGCCATCTCTTTCGTATGCTGATAGCATTATCCATTATTTTAGGATCCTAACCAGTTAATAAGGGCTAGCGCTCTTCGGTAGTGTTATCGTCTATCCAGTTGCATTGATTCTCCATAGATGTGCTGGCCATCAAAGACCTCAGTTCGTGATATGAGGCCATACGCAGAAGCGTATTTCAGAGTTTTTTTTCACTTTTCTTTCTAGCGGTTTCACCAGCCTCAACAACTTTCCGCCTCTTCCAATCGTTGAATACTAACGCTCACCTCCGGTTCAGGTGGCAGCTCATGCCATTCCCAAGCTGTACTCTTTGGATCCCGAACTCGAAACAGAGCTGGTCGATTGCATCGATTTTCTTCTTAGCTGATAGACGTAGCCTAGTTCTGGGTAGTGCAGTATATGCTTTTGAAGAGGTAAACATCACGAAGATCTTTCTCTTAGCTTGTTTTGCACTGTCCATTCACTGTGCAATAATAACCAGTTTGATCGTTATAGATATGCCCAAATCGCTTGGACTTGCTTCATAAACACTTTCGTGCTTTGTGTCGTGCTTTAGCAGACGTTGACGAGTGGGGGCAGGTATGTGCCTAATCTTTCTCTTTTGTGACCGATTTCAGAAGAAACCTTCTGGTAGTTTTGATTCGGAAATTTTTTTCAGGTTATGATGATAAACCTTCTCACCAGATATGCGCGTTCAGAACTGGCTGATCCTGAACTTCTGCCACAGCCAGATGTGGATCTCACTCTGCTTCTTAACTCGGCTCGTCCTCTTCTACAGGTTCCTTTTCGTTTTCCTTACTGACATTGATGTTACCGTGAATTTCCTGATGGAGAGATTGCAAGGATTTACGGGATAACCGGGAGACATTTCGGTCCCGGTTCCATGAAAAAAGTTGAAAAAGTTTTTGAAGTTTTTGTTCAGGTGTTGTTTCAAACTTTCTTTCGTTACAGTCACGAAACTGCAGCGTCGTTATGGCGGTTACTCAGTTGTTCTACTATACCGCTCCAAAGGCACAGCTTTCACAAGTAAGTAACTTTGATTTCTCATCGAATTCATGGGCAGAACCTTAGGTATCCATGATCCTTTTTGCTTAAAAAAGGTAGAAATGTCGTGACAATTTGGGGATAATATTGTAGTTTTTCCATAAGCAGTTGACTGATTTTCTGAATGACACCTGCTCTACCAAAATTTTGGTTTCAACGCACATTTTGACGCTTTTTGAAGGATACATTCTGCGTTTATATGGTCCTCAGAACCCCTGTAGGGCTAATGATTGCCCAGTCCCACAATTGCAGAGATTGCAACTGGAGTCAAGCAATGCGTCAAGGGAAGTTTAGAGCGTTTATACTCTCCCTTCCCCCCTCCCCGCCCCGTATTTTCCTCTTTGATGCGAGTTCCCACCGCGAACACTAAAAACTGCCACAGCAAGGAGGAGAGCTTCGATCAATCATCAGAAAGCATCAACATCAGGAAACGTAGAACTCCTGTGCAGCGGACAGGGGCGGCGGAAATTTATCTGGCGAACCTGGAGCGGGGAAAAATCAACGATCAAAATTTTTCGCGAGGCTCTATGTGATCTTCTTCCTGACGACCAAATATGGTCGCTGTCGAGGACTCCTATACGCGCGCTTATCCCTGGCCGTGATACGTTCCCGTCTCATAAATGAGGGATGGGAGCTCACAATAATTGTTGCGACCCCACTCACCAGTAGCGGTCCACCTAGAGATGTACGTCATTGACAAACTTTTTTAACCTCACAACCTACTACTTTTTATGACGAAATGTATCGAAAGTCCGACATAATTTTTTCCATAGTTTTTTCAACCCCTGCAGTTCGATCTTTATACTAATACTCTTTATAACTCTCTTTATAACTACAGTAACCTGATTCTTCTGATAAACGTTGCTACAAAAACTACTGTGGTAAGATGAACTTGTTTAGGTCGCCCGTGCGTTAGTACGCCTTTTACGTGGACCACGAGAAGTGCAATATGTTGTTCTGTTGAACATTGCGACGATCTGTGAGCGCAATCCGGTACTTCCTGGAACCTATGCCATATCAAAAGTAGGCAAGAATTAGGCGAGAGGATTGCTTGGCGTGTACCGCCGTAGTTATGCACTGTATCTGGGTAGACTTCTCATTAGTCTGCCATCTTTACTGGTATCTACAGAACCAAGATGTGCACGTTTTTGTCATAATTGTAAGCAGTTGGTGTGTGTAATTATGATGACTTGACATGCATGTGGTCAACCATCTGGCACTAAAGTTAGTGATGTTGCCTTCAGCAGCTATCGACGTAAGTAGATTAGAAAGAAATGCACGAAAATGTTTAGATTAGATGATCGCCAGTGCTTTCAGTGTAACATGTGCTTTTACTTGGACTGATTTTGTTTTATTTAGAATATGTTCGATCCGTTCCTGAAATCGTTCTTCGTGCGTTCATCGGATCCATCGTTCGTGAAGGAATTGAAGCTGCACATTCTCACCAGTCTGGTATCAGAAGCGAATGTGCACATCATTCTTAGAGAGTTACAGGTGAGAGAATTCGCTATTTTCTCCAGAATTCCAAGACTGGAGTATAGATACGCCGGCATCAGTTGGATACGCCGTCAATCCGAGCCTAATTAGTGCTTTGGAAGGCTGTGGGTTTGGCTTGGCTGTAGATGCTGCAGGTCGAGAAGCCCATTGATCCAAGTAAATGGAATAAGTACAACGTGATGGATGAGAACTTCATTAGGACCTTCCCGTTTTGATTCTCTACGAGACGGGGTAAGCGTGGTACATGAAGGCGCTGTTCCCCGCCCGTTATTGGGAGGGGAGGAGGGTAGGGGGAGATAGTGGATTCAGCATTTGTACCCCTCCCCTCTGGGGATACCCACTCGACTGCAAGCCCTTTATTTAGAACAAAACCTCATTACTGAAGCATCTTAGAAAGTAGTCGTGCGCAACCACCAGATGATGTATATAGGGTGCGCTGCATAAGTTCATGCCGCCACGTACTTTTTCGCTAAATAATATCTCAAAGCGAACCAACCTGAAGCATTCAGAGCCTATACCCCACCATCACGCATCCACTATTAAACGACGCCGCGCTCAGACAGCCTTTTCGGATTTCCTTCTTTCCAGAACGACGGGGGCTGGGACTTGAAGAAGTCGTCGAGTGCCTTTCTGACCTGATCCTTTGTTTCGAACTTTTTTCCGTCCAGAGAGCGCTGCAGGTGGCTGAACAGCCAGTAGTCAGAAGGAGCGATGTCAGGGCTAGTAGGCGGCGACCATCACCCATCCTACTTCTGCGCACGCTCGGCCTGGGTCGCCTTTGCGGTGTGAGGTCGGGGCTTGTCATGGTGGAAGCAGATTTCCGCATTCGATCCACGAGTAAGGTCGACGTGAACTTTCAATTTGCGCAGCTGGGTAACATATGTGGAAGCGAAAAATCGTCTGTCCCTTCTCCAGCAGCTCCCAGTACTCCATGCCTCTCTCTGGACCACCAACAGGACAAGAACCTTTTTGGGGATGTAAGGCGGCCTTTGGGTGCTTGGGCTGTTCTCCCTTTCGACCCACTGGCTGCTTCCTCACAGGATAATCCGAGAGCGACCCATTCGCATCCTCCAGTGATCATCGAGTTGCAGAAAAGTAACTTACTTTTGTAGAATCGTGCACAGTAACAATCACGAGCAGTGCCGCAGATAGCATTTTGTCACAGTGGAATTGTTGACATTGTAGGCCCGCAAATGCAAGTGGCTGAGTGAATAACTCAAAAGAAATTGTGTTGCGTTTCGTTGTTGTTTATGTTAGGCACGCTGTCCTGTGAAATGGTGTGTGTAGCGCACTTGTATAACGATGCGACTAACCTGTAACCTGATTTGAGCGGTGTTCAGTTTGGCGGCGTTGCAGAATATTAAGGATACGACCACACACAATTCTGATACGACGCGACAAACCACAATTCAACCAAACCTCACAAACTTGGTAATTAAAACTTTTATACGGCAACTTCAACTCTATACGTAATTGAAGGCACACAAAAACAATAACGCATTGTTACCAATAATGTGGTAACGAGAATGAGTATCTTATGTCATCTTGTATCTTCAAGGAACGGCTGAAATACTATGAATATGAATACCAATCAATCAGGCGATATAGAAGAATCGATGTGAATGAGACTGAACATCATGAAGATCAATCAATAATGGCTAAAGGCATTGACAGGCAGATCAATGGCCATGAATACGGGGCCCGAATGCCAACAACAAGATGGGATGGAAGGGCATGCAGACGGAGGGGGAGGCGGGGGGGCGCGCACCGTGCAGCCAGTATTCCGCTGCTCTCCCGCAGATCGCTTCCTTTATATAGGTTCGTTTCCCCGCGCGATTCTTGATTGACGTTGGTTTGAATATGGCATCCGGAGATCAAGTGCGCTCCAGCACATCAGCTCAGTGTGATCTAAAAGGTTATAGTGCCACGCGCACGCGCACACGTGATGACGATATACCAACATCCATGCAAACGAACATACGGACAGGATCATAACCACCTGTGGCCCCACAGAACTTTATGCCCCAACACCTAATATCTTTGTGGACTCAAAAAGACGTAATCACCGTCTGCCGCGCTCATGATGAAGGCGATGCCTTGCCCACTGCTCCATACTACGCCAATAGCCATTGCTAAAAGCTTCTCGGAGTCTTGCGTTTCTGCCTACGCTGGATGCTCTTTTCGTTTCAAATGGTGAGAGTGAAGTGATAAGGAGAAAGGGCTTATATCGTTGCGATACCAACAATTGACAACTCGTCCAACCAGTCTTCGCCTTGTACTCCTACAGGCTCAGATCGGCAAGGAGTCCCATCTTGGGCATTTCATACGATTTTTTTTCCTCTTCCTTTATTAATGTGTTACCTGCCATTTTCACATCAGTGCTTTAGTCCCACAACCCACCGTTTTTGATCGCGAAACGTGCCTTTAAGGACATCTGCTTAGTTCGCCAGAAGGGCAGAGTCAGGAGCGATGCCACAGGCGCATCCCTCCTCTTCCAACCTTTTTTCTACCAACATAAGATTGCGAGAGAAAAGAGCCTTTCTCCACCACCATAAGAGGGCGAGAGAAAAGGGGCGCGCCAATGACGTTGCTTTCTACCTCCCTCCCACCCGAGTATCATAGGCACTGTCATCAGCAGTATCAGGTCGTTCATTAGACAGATTAAATGCCTATGAGGCTATTGCCGCCACTGTTCTCAGTGGAGACAGAACTATAGCTCGCAAAACAGCAGAGTCTTGACTCTTACATTATTTTATAATCTTCGGCTTTAATATTCAGACGTATGTGAGTACGAGCGATTTGGCTGGAGCTGCTATTGAGGCCATTGGAAGATGTGCAGTTCGAGTCAAGGCAGTAAGTGAGCAATGCCTGGCTGGTCTCGTTCAGCTTATCACTTCCCCGAATGAGGATGTAGTTTGTTCAGCAGTGATTGTCTTGAAGAGGTAAGCAAGCGTTGATGTATCCTTTTCAGCTTAGCGGTGTCTGTGATAGAGTTGTTATATCGCGTATGATTGTTGCCTGTTGAAGATTGCTTCATGCGGAAGCGCCCGTAGCGCTTTTGTCTCGTCTGGCCCGGTTGATCAGGTCTATTCAAGCGCCTCCTGCAAGAGCTTGTATCATATGGCTGATAGCGACTCACGTGGAAACGGTGAGCTCAGTTTTCACTTGTTTTTTGGCTTTCCACTCACAAACAGTAGACTCCATATCCAGATTAAATTTTTTGGGTACTCATTAATTTTGTTTAGGTACCGAATTTGGCCCCGGATCTTCTCCGTATTTTGGCTAAGAATTTCGTCAATGAAGATGAAATTGTTAAGGTAGTGCGCCTGTAATGATACTTTTTCGTGCAGATTCATATCCAGTTCATTGCGACTTGTGGCCGAAATAGCCTGCCTTTGCCTGCCAACCGCCTTTTTGTATTCAAGGTGGAAACGCTCAAATTGGCCGTGAAATTATGGATGATACGCCGTGACGATTGCGAAAAACTTGTTCAATATGTGCTTCAATTGGCCAGATATGATCTGAGCTATGATGTTAGGGACAGGTGAGGACTGTGACCGTAGCTGTTCCGTACCGATATGGGATATGTGGCAAGACAATCATGACATACCGCGCGAGGCGTGGCGAGCGACACCACACAGGCGAGAGGCGGGTTGTCCTTTCCCGGCCATTAACTTGAAGAGATGGAAAAGATCATTACCACTCGGCATGGAGCCTTGTACCCTCCTGAGCTCACATGAATTTCCCTGCTTTGATCGATATGTATGATACGCATTGAGAATTTGCTGCGCACCGTAACACAATGCGTACGGGGGTGCTGCAAAGAGGTGTTGTGGGATAGAGATCTGTAAAAAATGGTGCAAAGATTTTTTCTGTAGGCGATGTTCGTCGACAGAGGGGGGGGGCATTTTTCACTCTCGCAGCTTCACTAGTTCCGGTTTGCAAGTCTTACTCTGGTGAAAACTGGCAAAAGTGCGGGATGCCCCCTCCTCCGTCGCCGAACTGCGCCCTTTTCTCTGTGCTACGCTGCTACTGTAGAAGCATGGTATTCAGGGGCTTCTGAATAAAAATAAATCTCTTCGCTCATCGCTTTTGAGCCAGTATCCAAAATTTCAGTCCTTTTTTCCGTAGCGGTAACATCCATATATCGCATTGGTAGTTGGTTGGTGCGAGTTCAGGTGACCTTGGGTCTTATACGAAATCTATGCGGCTGTAATGGGGACCACATAGAGCAGGATCTTCTTTAAATGGAGATTTCCTTTCGGCTGTGGATCATGCTGCTGACGTGAATCTGCCCACTAGGGCTTAGTTCGAATTCTGTAGAATAATCATTTCTTATCTCTCATCTATCCTTATTTTTCCGAGCCAGTTGAGGCTGCGGCTTATGTGCACGAGCTTTGCCAGATGTTTGTATAATACGTATCTGTTCCACCCGTCTCGCATGGGATCATTTGTCCCAGATTATGTTGACTCTTCTTTCTTTGCGAATCGCCATTCTGGGAAAACTGCATATCTTCTACAAGCTGACATTCTGACTGACTTCACCTCTCTCACAAGGTATCTTCGAGGAGCTTCTGAAGGCGATTGCATAATAGTCAAAAGCCTAGTGCAATTTAGACGTCTACCTTCTGCAACCCACATAAGATGTTCCCTCGTTTGCCGAATCTGCTCCTTTTCTACTCCTAGGCAGACAGTTCTATCCCAGGTGTGGATCCCAAGCTATAGAGCATCACAAGAGAATTTCAGACCGATGTCAGCAATTTTGACGGAGTTCGACACACCATTAAATGACTTATGTCTCAATCTAGTAGATGTGTGATGTTGCTCTTATTGAAACCTACCCTAACCTATTGGCAGTACCTTGTCACTAGGTTGATCGGAAAGTTTTGCTACACTTTGGACAAATAACAACTAGAAAAATCAGACAAGTAGAGGAAGCTCATATGGAATTCATTCCATCCACCGTATCTCTCTTTCTAGAGTTTTCCTTCGTCTTAACACGACATTGTAACTTTTCCCATCTAGAGCTTTGGATATTCTATATATATTCTTTTATTCTATATATTCTTCTTGCTGGGATGGCAGTGTCTTGAGCATGTGCAAATGTTCTTGCAGTAGCAAAATCATAAAGAGCCAAAGTGAAAAAAATCGTCTTCTACCTATTCAAATCAGGCAATTTTCAGATGTCGATTAGCGTACCTGCCCTCTTCAAACGCCACGTTCTAGCAGCGCATGCTGAGCAAATATTCATGTCTAAAAAGCCAGCACCAGCGCTTCAGAGCAGTTTCAAAGGTGAAAAGTGAAGAGACCATATCAATATTGAAGCAGATTTTCAAGCCGTTTTAGAACGAGAGCAGTTTCAACTGGGAACGTTGTCACACGCCCTTAATCAGCGTTGTGCACGATACAAGACCTGCCCAACTTCCCGCAGGTTTGTCAGCTCTGCATTATGTGATTTATATACGAATACATCTTCATGCCCTTTCGTCAAGTCGAACTCGTCTCTGGAACAGCCGTCACCTTAAGTTTCATCGATGCTCTATGCGTCGAGAGGCGAATTCACCGGAAGAATTCAAGTATGAGGAGCCAGAAGGCGCGGAGGATGAAGATGAGGACTACGACGACGAAGAATACGACGAGGATGAAGATGAGGAGGAGAGTTTGGAAGAGGAAGAAGAAGTAGCTGCACGGACGGTGGGAACAGCGGAGATGGATATTCGGGATGAGGAGGATAGTAGTGGAGGTAAGCGATGGGGAAGTTCAGTGAGAAATTTATTACTGAGTATGTTGCTACTATCGGGGCCACCGCGATGGTGGACATCGCCGTACGACGCGATACCCTTTCCGGCGAGCTTATGATCTCTCATGGCCCGCTTCAAATTATTGAGAGAATCCATCCCATACCTGCTCTGAAGAACTGCCGTAACAAGAGCAACTCTCGTGGTTCGCACAAAATCTTGTGGACACGGTATGAATCTTGACACGGGCACGATTCGCGCACCCCGAATGAATGGTCGTACTATGTTGGCTCGGATTGATCGCCCATCTCCCACTATACGTGACCCATTTGCAGGGTGTACATTGTCTAAGGTGCCGTCAGCAAGTGAGCTGCGTACTTCATCGGGATTTTTTTTGCAGGAAGAAAGCGATGAATCCGAAGAGGAAAGTGAACATGAGCAGCCCGTGAAACCTCCACCATCGAAATCGCACAGCAAAAGTTTGTTTACTTCCTAGCAAGGTTGCTCTCTCTGAAGGTTCAGTCAGAATTTAGGAGCTGTAGCTGCCACAAATGGTGCACAACATCAGTTCCAAAGGAGAAGGTAGAGGTCAAAAGTACGGAGACGGCCATTGATCTGTTGCTTGATCTGGACTTCTCTGCTGCTGGAAGTCGACAAGTCATTGAACCTGAACTTGTTTCGGTGAGCGTTTCTGTCTTTTAGAAGCAAATAAGTGTTTTTCAGTAGGCGCATATTTCCTTGGCATTACGATATTGTAAACTGGGATTAGCCCAAAAAAGGAGAGTTGCATGCAACGCGACAGTCTGAAATTTTCAGACGAAACCGCGGTCATCTCTCAATACATAGAGGCAATGGAATCGAACTGTCTCTATCGTTCCAAGAAAGAAACGATCGCCTCAATTTACGTTACGCTCCATCTACGCGCAACAATACGACGAGACACAGAAGGGATCAGATTTCACGCACCGAAGGTTCGAATATCAAGGGAATATGGTTTGTTGCTGTTCCCTTTTTTTGCTTCGACGACGGTAACTAGGCAGTAGTTGCAGTAATCTGAAGCTGTTGTAATCAAGTGAACGCCTTCCAAAGTGTACCGTGCAGCTGGATTTTGAATTCGGCGTCATAATGGTTCTTGGAATATTTGGTCCATACATAGAATATCTGATTAGCTGTTGTAATAGCATATACAGTCTTGTTCGCTACGGATGGTGGGGCGTGTTAAGGGGGAACGTGTTTGGTGTGGCACAGCAATGCCAACGCATTTTACGATGCACTTGCAGTTTCCATTTTAGTGCGAGAAAGGAGCGTGGCCGCCAAGCCCAGCCATATGACACGCAATCGTTCGCAAGCGAAAAGACTGTACACGCCTAGTGCTATAAGTAGTTATAGTAGATATTGCCTTAAACTGTTTTGAGTCAAATGAGCAGGTCATGAACGTCCTAGTATGTGAAGAGATTTGGTCCAAGGGTTACGAATGTAATAGCGGCACCTTCTGCCACTGCATATCATTCTATTTATTGAAAGTTATGAAATTTAGAAGCTGAATAAGGGGACATGTCTTCAATTGCGACCCATTTTCATAATTTAGATAGACGAATTGCCTGCAGGAGCTTACCATATTCTTGATTTATCTGTGGATTTGGGTGACAGTTTGAGACGTGTCGAGTGGAGGCTGTCGAGGAATTTCAACGAGACAGGAAGAAGTGTCGCCATAGAGGTACGTTTGCCTTTCTTTCTCATAGTTCTAAGTAATTTTTGGAATTTTTGATTGAATGCGATGTGGCCTATACAATGACTTGCGGGGCCAGCCGATGTACAAGTCAGTGTTTTATCCTCCCAGGCGAATCTGGTACCAATTTACCGTCCCCGGAGGGTAGAAGGCTTGGTTGGCCTGCGCGAGAGCTGATCCGGAATTTGATACCAGGACCGTGCGCGTGGTAAGCGTGCCACTTACCACTACACCATCACTGAAATACAAAGGGGAAGAAGATTCATGTTTTAAAATTGTTGGTACCCTATTGTCTGGGATGTGAAGCCCACCCGGGCACAGGGCGCATTTTCGCCTTTAAAACGCGAACTTTTCTTTTCTTTTTGCCTTTACTTTTGCCTACTTTCGTTGTAAAATATCTATATTGAATAAAAAGTGTTAGAAAAGCAATTAGACGGGTAAAGTACTCAAAAAGGCTTGAAAAGCGCTGCTGTGTTTGGAATCATCGCGCGCGATTTCGCGTGCGTCTCTGTGAACATGCTGAGGAATGCACGCTATATCCCAAAAACCAGCGCAATATTGATGAGTGTCATTTTTGAGAGTTCATTCACTGACTGTTCCCCACATTCAAATTTTCGATAGATTTTCTTACCTGAGGATTTCCTTCCTTTATAGGCATTTTCCAGGTTCCTATTGGTGAGCAAGTTCAGCCGATACGTATATCGGACGAAGAGGTAGAGAAGGAACGACGTCGAATGGGTGGTCTTAACCGCAACTCGGCTACCATTGCAGCACCAGTGTCTGGTGATGATATCGTAGCAGTTATCAATGCTTACCGTATGCCAAATGGGGTGAGTTTTCTGCAGTTCTAATTCTATCTTGTTCGCTGCAGATGATGGGGCTGTCAATACGGCTGGGTTTGGCGCGCCGCCAACCAGTTCATCAACTGTTGTAGAAGTTTAAACGACAACGACTGGTGGAGAACGTCGAACGAAAGATAGGGCTCAGTAAATTCCATGTTCGCCTTTCTTGTAACCTGGGCATTTTGAACTTATGTGATCGATAATTTGTTCTTATGCCGGACAGATTTGTATGGTGGAATCTTTATTACGCCTGACGTTTCGACAATCTCGTCGTCGTCCATGTTGAACAGGATAGGTCGTATTTCACGACTTTCGGTGTACTTTCAGGCCTTTGAAAGCGTATTTTTGTATAGTTATTTTTTCCACCATTCAAACCTGTCGGCATAAGAAAGAAGTTATCATTCGCATAGGCTCAGTTTTGTCGCAGGCCGAAAGAAAAAAAATAACAGACTGGCGCCGGCCCAAACGCGCCCATCCCTGTGACTTGGCCCGTCATCTGCAACATCTGTCGTTTTACCCCTTTCTTTTATTTGAGTTTTTCTGCTGCATGCTAAATTTTTTTCTCATTCTTGTAGTGATTATGTTACCGCAACATCTTTAAGCGTTTGAAGGGCTTTTTCAGATGTTCACGTGCCATACGCGATCCAGGAAGGACCTGGTGATCATACGTGTAACCGATGATAACGTTGAAGTGAGCAGTGATAATGCTGTTTTCGGCAAAATGCTAGTGAGCCTAGTGCAGAGCCTTGCCCAAAAGTCATAACGTGGTGCTTTTGCCATAAAAATTTGAATTTTTTTCTTCCTTTGTGATATTGCTGACCCTTGTTGTGATGTAGCTGTGAATTTGGTGATATTTTTAACTTATTTACTTCCGCAATGTTTTAGTAAACCATGTTTTACGCATTCATCGATCATAGGAATAATACTAGCATTTCATCCTGAAAATATGCACTCATTTCTAACAATCTGACAGTTGATAATAAGGCGTATAATAGCTTCTTTGCATGATAAGTATTTTGTAATTTTTAACTTATATGAATAATTCTTCATGTGTTTGTTGGTTCGCAGTGTGCGAAGCTAGAGCTTTAAAGCTGTCGTTAAAGGCAGTTGACACAATAAATCCCTAAAGACGAGTAGGATTGATACGACTGGCATGACAGAATTCCGCGACCCTGAAAAGGCGCTGCACAGCAGGTACCGGGTTCCTTCATAGCGCCCTATTGAGCAGCAACATACCGACCCGGACGCCCACCTCGCCCGCCCGCCTACCATTGGACGTATAGCATCACAGCACGAGGACGTGCCGTTGTGGACCGCCCGTGCCTACGTGTAATGTAGTGTAACGTAGAGCGACGTAGAACGTACTGCTGGCTTTTTGCCAGCAGTAAACGGTTCATCGGTAGACTCGTCCAAAGCAGCGCCGCCCCAGCCGTTCGCTCGTCCACTGCCGCAGTGCAGCGAAGAAATAAAGCTCCATTCCGTGTTTCCCCACCATTTCGCCCCGTTTTTCACTATTTTGCATTACAGAGCACCTCTGCTCTTTTCTAAAAATGTACATGAATTTATCGTGCCAACTGCCTTTGAAAGGTAGAGAAGGATGACCAAAGTCTGTGTGTTGTCCACTGCAGCGCACTCGACGTTCATTCAAAATAAGGATGTGACTCAATGTGTACGAAGCTTTTTCGAAAGCTTGCGGTAACATGTGGACCATTTGTGCTTTGGAATGTTTTCTTTTTCTGATATTTTGTTTTTCTTTGTTTCTATTTAGCGTCTGTTATGGCGTACTTTTAGGTAAGGTTGCCTCCAGAACTTGTTTAGCCTGAGTGGAATCGAATCTGGCGTGAGTGCAGTATGAGTCCTGCAGCCTCTAAGAAGCCGTGGGCGCATGGAGATGGAACATCTTTGAGTAGAGTGCTAACAATAAGCTGGGAGTGGATAGCCCTGTGTCGACGACCATAATGAGGTAATATACGTGGGTCATAGGGTAAATGAAATCAGCTTGATAATTTACCGTGGAACTTTTGTAAGCGTCGTTGGTACATTTTAGAAATGCCCATGCAAAACTGAAGCGCAGGTGGTGCAGTGGCAAGTGGCACGTTTACCACCCGCGGTCCGGGGATCAAATCGCTGGTCGGCTTCCTCCTAAGTTAAATAACCTTCTGCCCTCTGCGAACGGTGAATTGGTACAG